AATAATGTAACTATTTCTGCGCGGGTTTCATCGTCGTATTCTAATTTTATTTAGGCTATTCTCTCCTATATACGATTCATGTTATGTATTTATTCAGTTGATGTGATGATGAGCACGGCACGTAACTTTGCTTCAACGCCCAAACCCACAACAAGATCATCGTCATCAACACATAAAGTTTCTTGGGCAAATGTACTCTTACCGTTTTGTGAGGGCCCGGAAATATTTTCCGATAAAGAAGTGTATTCTTATGATGACAATGTTGTCATTATTTGGGATAAATATCCAAAAGCAAAAATACACCTTTTAGTAATGCCAAGACGAAAAATTGATAGTCTTAAAGAATTGAAAAGACAAGATCTAAACTTGATTGAAACTATGAAACTAAAAGGGCAAGAGATGATCGATCGGTAAGTGTTAATTAATGATCAAAACATTTATTATATATAAACAGTTAATATTTATCACTACATGCATTGCTCATAGTTTTAAGGAAAGCGAACCAAAATTGGTGTTCCGTATGGGATTTCACATGATTCCTAGTTTGAAGTAATCTTTTTTTTTTTTTTCTACTTCGTTTATTTCAGAGATCGAATATTAATTGTTTTGATCATAAAAGACAACTTCACATGCACGTGATATCACAAGACTTCGTTTCACCGACATTATCGACTAAGAAACATTGGAATTCATTTACAACACCATTCTTTAAGGATGTTGAAGAAGTAGAAATGTTACTGAGAGAAAAGGGACAAATTGAGGTTTGTCTTAGAAAAATGTATATTTTTGCTAGCAATGTTATTTATCACCGTTGTATTTAATAGATCGATAAAGCTTATTACGAAAGTTTGCTACAATCGCCTTTGAACTGCCATTTATGCGATGCGAAAAATTTTAAGATTCCAACGCTAAAGAGACATTTAGTAGAACATTTAAACAATGATAGATAATAATAGATAATTTCCATTTAATACGTTAAGTTGATTATGACATTTATGTGATCAACTTTCATGGATATCTTGTATTTCAATAACTACTGCTAAATTAATGGCAGCATGTATTACGTTTTATTTGAAT